AATTATTAAGAATAACTCAAAAACTATTGGTCAGACCTTAATCAAATTTATATTGGATCACACGTGAAGCACCAGCTTTCAAATAAAAAAGAATCATCGAATTCGATTCACCCAGTAAAAAGTTATGAGGTAAGACACATAAAAAAACATACAGTCGTATTGAGTACCGGTTCCTTTTTGAAGTCGGTAGAAAATGAACTAATTTGTATGAGGTCGGTTGCAGGATAAGTGGGCTGCTGTAGCTCATCAGGTGCTATGATAACTCGTCTGTCACTTTAAATTTAGTCCCCTGGGTGTCTTAGGCGGCGACTATGGGAATGTCAGAAAAATCTTATAGTTCGATACATGGCGGTATACCATCTCGTTATACCAGACGTAAGCTACCCAGATCGACTATGGGAAGCAGACAGGCCAAATTTTCCTACATTGAAACGGGTCCATGCACAGTTGTGAGCTTTTACTGACTGATGAAGACCGTAGAGCTATTACGTTTGTTCTGAATTACATATAATGAATTATTAAACTATTTATTAAAGTAATAGGCGGTTAATGAGCACACAGTCTACATGATGATAAATTGCAGCTATGGCGCGTAAACATCTACACGTGTCCTCGGTTAAGATTAAGAACCTAAATGCAGACATGTTGTCACCCTGAGGCCTATATTATATGGAATGCTTCATTAAAAATAACAAGTGATAAAATTAAAAATTTTGTACAACCGACTTCGATATAATTAAAATGAGAACACTGGTAGACAATGCCACAAGGCATTAAGTCCGCCCTTTGTATTCTTTTAGATTAAGGAATGCAATAAAGAATAAATAAATAAAACATCATCAATGTAGTCGAAATCAATTAACTACGCATTATTAAGTATAACTCAAAAACTACTGGTGACAGATCTTGATCAAATTTATGTGGGACCACATGAGAGGCACCAGCTTTCAAATAAAAAAAAGGAATCATCAAAATCGGTTCATCTAGGTGGTGTGTGATTTTCTAGAAAAAAGTTATGAGGTTAACATAACACACATAAAACAATACAGTCGAATTGAGTCGCTTTTTTGAAGTCGATTAAAAAACAAAAGGAAATAAGAGAAATTTGTCAGCAGTTGTAATCACGAAGACTACTTAGTTTATTTCAAGCTCGAGACATTTATTGCGTCTATGGAATGCTCATTTATTTTACTTTAATATTTATAAATATTAAAGTAAAATAATAGAATAGAAAATTCTGTTACAATAAGTGTTCTTATAAAAGCTTGCTCTTATATTAGATTAACGATAATAGTCAAATACCAAGATCGATCCGACAACCTGGTATTCGCAGGCGCAGACCTGAACCAATCAGAAACTGTCTCGTTAGTGATTGAGAATATTTTTAGTTAAATTCTATTATGAAACAAAAGGTTTTATTTCCAGTTAGCGATTTACTTTACTTGCAACGATCTTGGGAAGCGAATTAGTATTAGGACCACCAAAAATTAACTAACAAAAATATAAAATTGGTAACTTTTCTTTTTATTAATGGACTCGTACGGTTGCACTTCTGTCAGTATCAAATTCAAATTCAAAATATTTATTGTAGGTTAAGTGTTATACACATTTGATGTTAATTTATGTTAATACTAGCTGTTCCCCGCGACTTTGTCCGTGTTACATTTGTTACGTTGGGATTTCATGGGTATTATTTTTTTTGCGCGGAACTCTAATTCTTTTTCCAAAATAAAAGTAGCCTAAGTTACTCTATATAACATCAGCTATCTGCCTCAGTGAAAGTTCCGTCAAACCGTCGCGTCGGTTCAGCCATTTTGGAGATTAGCCGGAACAAACAGACAGAGAGACAGAGCGACAAAAAATGTTAAAACTGTATTTTTATTATAAGTAGGTCCTATATAAATATAATTTCTTATGCATTTAATAAAAAGCTGTTATTTTGACATTACAAACAGACAATTCAATTTTTTATTTGTATAGATGTATAGATTAAGTGTCTCATAACTTAACCAACATTTTCAGGTATTACAATTTTTGTCATATTTTATAGGCCTGTGCCTAATATAAGTTAATAAGTTAAAGTTATCCAGGTATCAAGTAATAAGAAATTATTCTTTATAATAGTTTGTTTTAAAACTTTTTAGCAATATTTTGAATGATGATACTTTACATTGCTAAATTTTTAGAATATTTTGACGGCAATATGAGACAGCAGACAGTCGTTGACGATAATATCTCGAGGCTTAGGCATACAAAATAAGTTGAAGCTTACATTATGTTCGAAAAACTTGTTTTATCATATCCAATAATACTTCACATATGCAGACATTTAATACACAAAATACCACAACATTTGCGTTTTAAAATCAACTTCAAACCAAATCAACAATATACAGGAACAGCAATCCGCCGGTCACGTTGCCGCCAGAACTCCAATATCAACTTACCTAGTGGAATAAACGATTGTGTCAAATCTTAGTTTGCTTAATATGTGTAGTCTGCTGCTTAGGAGTACATAAGCCTAAAATCACAGATCTTTAAAACGAAGACTAATAATTGTGCCTCAAATATACACGACCAACTGCGGCTGCAATCCGCTAGCTAATTGTGGCGTTTATCCAAAATCGGTCAACCATATAAGAGGCTAATTTGTTTAGCAGTAGTGTTATTGGCTGATAAAACGAACAACAGATTTTTTATAGAATAGGGTGACAAATGAGCACATCATTGTAAGCTGATACTGTGACAAATAGACATCTACATTTATTCTCAATTAAGAATTAAAATGCAGATGTGTTGTCACCCCTGGGGACTAAGATGGAATGCCTCATTTCCAGTAAAAAACGTCTCCGGTTCTCTACACTCACCCTACAAAACACAGCAGTGTTAAGTAGCTATTTTACGCTGATATTTTGTGAGAGCGTGGTCCCACCGCGATCGAGCCGACAACCATAATATAGCTGCAGCGTGGCTCTACCACGTATATAATATATCTAATTACGAAAAAACACTTCCATAAAGGTGATGGAAAGACGAAGGTAAGTTCTCATTTACTTAAAAAAATCTTGAACTCATTTGCTTTTTTTTTTTTTTTGGAATAAAATCCGTCTTTTTAGATACACTATTGAATATAAAATGTAGGCATTTACAAGATTGCGCCAACTGGCATGTCACAATATTTACCTATACGTATTTATTTAATCAGTTGTAATGTCATCAGTATTTATAAGCGAATCGTTACCGAAAAACCAGACAACTTTTTTCGATGTTTTATAAAACTTTCCATATCCGAGAATCAATAGCGTGTTCCGAATTTAAACTATGTGTCCCCGCCATTTTTGTCGGATCTAATGAACTATTAAACTGCAATTTGGCTGCGCGATGGTTGCTAGATGGCGCTGTGCGCACGTATTGATCGCGCCGTGGGGGCCAACTTCTCGGCATCAACTTCTGCCAAGTCACGGAATGTATTGCTAGCTATTGTGGCGAAAAATGAGGGGGGCTGAAATGGGCCAAACGCCCCCCGAGCGCGTTTGACGGACGAAGCAAGCCTGTTCAGATATCGAATCATGAGTCGTTAGTTCTCGTTTATGATATGACAGAATGCTTTCATTATTGCTTTTCTGTATTTTGTAAGGTTATTGCGAGGCGAACATTTTGTGTTACAGTTATTATTAGTCATTATTTTTAATATTTTCCATTAAATTCTTATTACTTAATAATATAATAAGCAACTGTAATGTTATTACAGGCAGACCGACTACCGTACGATAACATAAAATTACAAATGAATATATTTTTAAATACTCTATAAATGAAGCACGGGTATCAAAATGAATTATAATACATTTCTTAGTCTTCAAACAATTTATTTACAATAACATAAAACCGGATGTATAAATTACTATTTTCTTATTGGTACCTACTTAATGGAATTTTGGTATGTACTCAATTTCAATAATATACCGCGATAACAATTTTTGATTTTATTAATGTACAGGTTATAAGAAGGTTAATTACTAATTAGCAATAATCAGTAAGGTGGCCAATCGCCGCAGACGGACCGTTCCAAAATATAATTTAATCACACTTTCTATATAATTCCTGATAAATAATCAGTCTCGCAAAAATACTAAATATATTCCACATGCCCTGCATTCCTTTTAGACTCCTATCTAGTTTCTATAGGTCATTGTTGACTAATATAAGTGGAAAGTAGAAAAATAGCCTTTAAGTTTATATTACGTGGTTACTTTTTACTGTAAAATTTTATCTGTAATATTTAATCTCAAACCTAAAAGTAATAAAAAAAAAATGGCCACCGTACTAAGGAATGTTAAAGCACAGAATAAATAAAAAGTTAGTCATGCGACGTTATAAGCAATTTTGTTTTTGATAAGACCATAGGAAAAAAAGTAGCAGGATGTGGGAAAATAATAAGAAAATTTATTTGCCAATCCGCCTGCCAATTGTGGTAACTATGAGGACGTGTTCAGCCCAACGAGTTGTCATGACTTGTTCTGTTGAAAGACTGAAATGAATAATTGAATGAATTAACAGCGCCATCTTTTGTCCGTGTTAATTAAATTGTAAGCATACATTATAACATCGTGTTTCCTACTAAAGTAGAAGGTGTCGCTATTTAAAATCGAAAAATGTTTTGAAACTTGGAATGAAAATGTGGCTTGTGTTTATTTTGCCTATTTATTTGTGATTCGGGTTAAACAAAAATGGCATTTAGGATATAAAAATGTTTATTAAAAAATCAACCATTATTCGGTACGCGGTACTAATCGCCGAATGTAAGTAAATTTTTATGACAAGTAAGTAAAGATTTAAAAACTATTTGAAAATATAAAGTTCTTGAAATATTTGGGAACTATCTTTTATTTTGGCATGAAAATGTAATAAAAAAAAAACTATAGGTATCTTGATGCCTTTTCAATTTGAAATACAAAATGCGTCCTCTGAGAGTATATTCTAAGAAAATTTGAATTCTTCTAAGGTCCGGGCATTTCATTATACCGGACTGGATAAGTGAGTTGATTTCCCCGATCCCAAGAGTACAGCTCCTGAAGAAAAAAAATCACTGTTATTAAGACAATGGAGATAGACATTATTATGACGATAATGATGACTAGGTTGATTTTATTTTCGTCGACAATTTTTGACTGATGTTGGGCGCTGCCAATACAAACTTTTTCGCCTGTCCAAAACCACCCGTTTCCACTATTATTTTCATGGAGACAGGGATATTTCTTTAGGCTACATGTTAAAAGTGCTGTAAAATTGATTTGTAATATCATAATATGTATATTTAGCTTTTGGGGTAGCTCGAGGTCGATACGTAATACTAATAATATAATTATATAATATAAGTAATAAGCACGTACGCCTGTATATTTTATCAGTGGATTACTGTTAACAAAGTGATATTTTTTTATAAAACCCATAAACGCCATCATTAATTAAAATGAATCTAGCGACATCTATCAGTTAGTTTAGTAAATGAAGAGGTTAGTGACACTGAAAACATGCTGCAGTAAAAGTTTTCTTTTGGATTTTTAAATTATAAATTATTCTGAGCTTAGAACATTAAAGTTGTGTCAAATTATATCTGTCTATTTCTCAATATCGATTAAAGGCGCAGCTTCATAATACAACGGGAAATTTTCAATAACGTAGTATAATAAATTATTAGTTATGACTTTACGCGCAAAATTAACATGCAACCTCAACGTATCTATTGTAGATACAGTTAAGGTCAGTTGGGGCAAGTGCGACGAATATCAATATCTCATAAACCGAATTAAAATTTAAGATGTTGTCACTGGGCCTAGTACGATGTGAGTCGTCATCTTGTTTTGACCCTTTTTTTCTCGTGGAGTTTCCACGCTGACAAGTGCTGTGTATATCAGTACGAATCTCGAGAAAAAATTACTACCGAATGATTTGAACCAGGTCATTGCCTTCTCTAAACATTATTCTTCATAAACATGTATATATTTTGTTTCTATTTCACAAGTAATTAACTTTAGCGATGCTTTTATTTTTATAACCTAAAACAAACGAAGTGAGGCAAACGCGCCTACTATAATAGTAATGGGTAAGTGCGCCACTATGACGCACTTACCCCGAACCAGAAGTTGAAAACATTTTAAGAAAGTAAGTGGTATTACTACTTATTTCTTTATTTATTAAACTTTATGCAATTTAAGTTATTACATAGGCGGACTAATGCCTTCGGCATTTTCTACCACCCATCTAGACATCTTCTAAATATAAAAAAGCGAAATGCCACTGACTGACCAATCACGAAATCTCGGGAGCTATAAAGGCTACGAACTTTAGTTTGGAAATTACAATATACAGTAAAAATTGTACGATAATATGATTAATGGAATGTGTTCTACCCACCATTAGTTTACTGATAAGCAAAGGAATGCCATTATTTAAAATAGACTTATTTTTACAGTTTTTGTTTCCTTATCGTTAAATATTTTCTAGTTAGATAAGTAAAAAGAAAAGCTCCTTATTTTCAAATACATTCTTACATTCCAAAGAGAGAAAGTTATTAAGTAGAATAAGAAAATAAGAGATTTACTAAAATACTATTTTTAATAAAGGATTTATTTGATAAATGTTAATGTTTAAAAGAGACTGATTCAATTTGCTTTACTTACGAATGAGATTTTGTAAAGTTTATATAAGCAACAGGTGCACCAGCCACTTTAAATAAAACATTAGTCCCTTAAAACGTTTTTTATTATTTTGTACTTACTAACGTCTTGTTAATATCATAAATTTTACAATTTAATTGAATATCATTTTCCGTTTTAAAAATGTTCAGTACCCCTGAAAACAAACGTATGGCGCACTTACTCCAGAGTTTGTTTTTGAGCGATAATAGTACTTATTTTAGGCATACTAAATATGTGATTGCATAAAATATTTCTGCTCATATGCTTTCGTTCGTAAAATAGACCCTATTCTAATAATAACAAAATAAAAACGATTTGTTAAGCCTAGCCGCACTTACCCCCGTTCCAAGGGGAAGTGCTTCTAAGCGAACCGTTTTATTCAAAAACGTAAAATAATAACAAAACGTAGTTTATATTGCTCAACGGAATGATAATTTACAACTAAAGAAACAAAGCTATCCAGTAGTACCTACTGAACTTCTATATGTTTAATAAAAATAAAAATAATTACAACAAAAAGTAATGTTTAAAAAAATATACCGCACTTGCCCCAACTGACCTTACATATATTATGCCAATATAACCGGGAGCTTGTAGAGTAAACACGAAACGAGTCAGTCAGTCGAGTTACTTTCGGACTTAGTTCCATTCTAGAGCGGAGATCGGTATTATTGTTCTGTTGTAGTAATGGTTATTTTATATTTATTAATTTTTTAGAACAGAGGCCAAATGAGCATGCGGCTTGCGATTGTAATCATTATTTTTTAAACCAACCTTGTGTATGTGGTCATATCCTAGCTGCGTTGTTTTCCGAAACGGGTTGGTGAACTGTAGGGACACTTCCAATGGCTTGCTGAGGTAGAGGTCAATGGCCACTGACACCTTGCTCTCCCTGTCCGTGGCGGAGTCCAGCGCATACAGCACCCCGCAAACTATAAACATCTCACCCATCTGTAAATGTATTAAAAGCGTTATGATGATCATTACCTTTATCTTTACCAGGTATTTTTACTGGCAAGGAGGCATTCCTTTCAGTTCTCAGATGTTATAACGAATTTTGATTCTTTATTTTTTTTCAAGGATAGTTGTTGATGTAGGTGACTACGGCAACAGCATTACCATCAGATGGTCTGTGCGCTTCTTTGGTACTTTCACTTCACTAAAAAACTTGGTCGAAGCAGTTAACTGCTGGCCGTGGCCCGTGGCCTTTCTAATGGGTCTATGTCGATAGGACAAGCGCACGACCCACTATGGTATTTTTTAATCTGAGAGCTTTAGTCAATGCCGGAGTAATTCCGCGCTCTTCTGGAAGCTACAAGCTATTCCCCTCATTTCCATTTGTTAGATCATGTAAATTGGTGAATCTTTACGCCTCTATCATTAGGCTTAAGGTATTATGGCATTTTATTTTTCTTAAAAAAGGTATTTAAAGTACGTAACTGCGGAAAGTACTTAACTAACTTTTCATGAATGAGATACTTTTTTTTTTTAAATTGCACATGTTCACCGCTCTAGGCGGGTGATTTAGTAAGCGTAGAGTCCACGAGCACCATCAAGTGGTGGAGTAAGGGAATTCTTCCCCATATCATCTTATGGGTGTCATAAGAAGCGACAGAGGGAAATTGAGAAATGTGATGGACAACAGCATCTTCCTGATAATAAATAATAAAAAATATGTTGTTGCCAACTCTCCTACCAAACGTGGTAATTATGGTAAATATTCCCCCTATGAGGCAACCTATGGGGGAGGCCTATGTTCACCAGTGGACTGTGATGAATGAATGAGTGAGAGCTTATTTCCTCGTAATGATGATATACCCCCCCCGCAGTTACCTTAAATTAAAATATTGTTAACTAAATGATTAGGTTTAGTAATAAAATAATGAAGTTTACCCACTTGTTTGTGATTTAAGGATATGTTCCAAATATAGTCAATGTTCAGGTCATCTTTATTGGGGTCGAAGTTGAGCTGAAATAAAAATAAACGCATTTTCTTAAATTTAACCTTAAATAAACTCAAATGACTTAAAAAAATTAAAAAGAATAAAATAATTTCACAATATAAAGTCGGTGCTGGTGGCAAAAGTGCACTGTTTGACATGCGCCTGATCCCTAAAACAGATTGACAATCGCACTACTAGACCTATTGCACCTTTGTACCGTCAAAGTCCCAGCATCGCCGGTCTAGGTTTCGTCTGGCGTAATGAGACCGGAAGAAGATTGGAAGCCTTAAGATTGTTCTGACATATCCAATTCTTGTCTCTTTCGACACCCACGGGATGAAATGGGATCTCTAGCACCGCCACTATTCGGTATACCTGTATCTATACAAATAAATAAAATTGAAGTGTCTGTTTGTAATGTCAAAATTACAGGTTTTTACTAAATGCATATGAAAGTATATACGGTACTAATAACAAAAATACAATTTTTAAAGTTTTTGTTTGTCTATCTGTTTGTCCGTCTGTATGTCTGTTTGTTCCGGCTAATCTCCGAAACGGCTGGATTGATTTTGACGGGATTTTCACTTGCAAATAGCTGATGTCACAAGGAGTAACTTAGGCTACTTTTATTTTAGAAAAATGATTAGGGTTCCGCGCAAAAAATTTAAACCCCAAATAACACGCGGGCGAAGTCGCGGGGAGCAGCTAGTCATGTAATAAATCTATAGAACAGTTTGTCTGTGTTTCAAACAAAAAAGAAACATGTGGCTATTATAAATTGAGACAGAGTTCAAAGCAGTGATTTCTAGATATTGTGTCTGCTCGTATTGGTAATCAAATTTTACGTAAATTTACTAGGTACTGGACGGATTCCTATTCTTTCTAATAATCATAATGTAGAACCCATAACATTTATTTATATACTGTCACTATCCTCCTAATTTAAAGGTAGATCGTTAAATAATGTACAAACGAGGGCGTCTACCACTTTTTCTGCCACCAGGGCGACGCCTTTTAGAAATGAGGTGCAATATTTGAAAGATTTCATAGGCGGATTTCATGTAAAAGTTAATGTTTTTTTTCTGTACTATTAGTTATATTTTATATTAATTAGATTAAAAATAAATAAACCAAACCACAGATATTCATAGAAGTAAAAAAATTAAATAAAGAGTTAAAATGTACAAAAAATGAAAAAGCAAAGCACTGAGACATTGTTTTGTGTATTAATATAATAAGTACTCTAGAAACTGATACACTTAATTTAAAACTAAATTAAATACTTAAAAAGAAATTAAATAATATTGTGCAATAAAAACTTAACCTCAGTGTTAAAAAGTATAAAATTATTGGCGCTCATTGATTTGAAAATTTTGACTTTAATTTACAGTGTATCAGTGTATCTAGGTCATCTATCAAAAATTGAGATGAATAAAAATATATAAAAACTGTTTAAAGATTATTAAATGAATAAAAATAAATATGCTTGAGATTTTTAAAAACTATATCCAATTAAAGCAAAATAACCTTTTGTTTATATGACATGGTGAATTTTAATTTTTATCATAAACTGTTCATAAAAGCGGAATCCATGAAATATTTGTGTGATGGCAGTAGTAAGATAGGTTATTCATAATCCCGTGGGAGTTACAACACGCACAGACCATAACGGACGACTTGGAGAAACGTTGCTATGATTTTGTGACTATACATGGTGTTAAAGTTACAGCCTATATACGTCCCACTGCTCACACAGGCCTCCTCTCATTTCTGAGAGGGTTTTAGGCCAAGAAAATGCGTGTTGGCGAACTTCACAAGTCTTCGAAATAATTTATTTTTCTTATTTCTCAGACGTGTATGTTTCCTCACCATGTTTTCCTTCATCGCCGAGTACGTGGTAAATCAGCACTTAAAATTGCTATTCACAATTCCATTGGTGCCGGCGGGGTTCGAACCCTGGTTGCACGCATACTGTTAAAAGCGCTTATATTAAAGGTTACACCAGAATTTACCAGCAGTGAATCGTCCGCTATTCTATTCGCTAACTTTAATATAAATGATAGTTACTATGCAGTAAGTACATTGCGTTCTATGTTTTAGGACTCGTGGTAGCTCTAATAGAAAGGCTAAATAGAATAAGCTATGCACTTCATCCCAGGTATACCATTGACTCTCTGACAGCGAATTCCTTCTCTGGTAGAAATATTTTAGTGCTGCCAATGCGGCAACGCACCTGCAATTCCCTTGGTGTTGCAGTTGTTGATGGGCGGCGGTAGTCACTTACTATCAGGTGAGCCGTATGCTCGTTTGCCCCCTCATCATTATCACCATCATCGTCATCATCATTTATCATTACAGCCTATAAAAAGTCCACTGCTGAACATAGACCTCCCCCAAGATTGTACCACAGGAGAGATAGTTGTAACAGAAACAGAAACTTTTTTATTCAATATAATATGTAGGTAGATTATAAATAATATTTATTGAAAGTCACTCTTTTGTTTAATTAACACTGGTTCGAAGAAAATCCTCTGTCCTGGGAAGAAGCAGCAAGAAATTTAGCCGGACTTTTTTTTTAAATAACAGCTTACAATCATGTATGTTACACAATAAGTTGTTTGCCATAGTTCCCACGCTTGGGACCTTGGTAGGCGGGTTAGCAGCCACAGTTTTATTTCAAGCTGTTATTAGGAAGATACTGCTTGCTACCCATGTTTTGTTTCCCTCTGTCTTCTCTTTCGGCACGCACAGATAACATAGCACTGAATCCTCTTATGCCGTGACTGCATGACATATTATTACCACATAAAATATTCACAAGTATTATTCAAACCCGAACTGCTGACTCTTTTACTCCGATAGTGAGGATTTCAATCTTGGTCCTTGAGTTTGACAACGCATCTTCAGTATCACAAATTTACTGGCATGAAATAAATACCTTAGCAACCGCCGTGTTGTTGGATTCTTCTATGGAATAGATTGCCCATAGTCCGTTGTCATCGGCGCTAAAATCCACCTGGAAATATTAGAAATTTATCTTTTTTCCTATATATATATATAAGTGAGGATAATATGGTCATCCGGTTAATACGGCCACTTTCTTATCACACAAAAACTACAGCCTTCTTTGCATAGAACGCTCTGTGAAACGAATAGCTCTTAATCAGTCTATCAAATAATAAAGGGTCAAAATGGAGCTGCTTTATCGACGCCATTTTGACAGTTGATATTATTTTTTATAAACATTTTAGTCGATTTTTGTATTGTGTGGTGTAGTTACTTTTTTTTTCAATTGATTTTCAATGGATGCAGGTGGCTCGGGCTCATGCTTTGTGGCGTTCTTTGGGGGAGGCCTATGTTCAGCAATGAACTTGTGAAGGGCTGTAATCATGATGATGAAAACAAGTGTTTTATTTAGTTAGAATCGTGGTAACTCAGGGGCTTAGCGCTGGAAATTTCACAATGCGTGAGGAAACTGGTATCGATCCCCGCCGGCACCAATGAAATTGTACTCGATGCGACGGTGCGGTGGAAGGAAAACATCGTGAGGATACCTGCATGTCTAAGAAATAAAATAAAATATTTCGAAGTTTGTTAAGTTCGCCAACATGATGTATTAGGGCAGCTCGACGCCGACACTCCTTGCCCTAAAAGTCAGAGGTCAGAGGTCTGTGCTCAGCAGCAATTTACTTTATATATTCAACTAGCTGTGCCCCGCGGTTTCACCCGCGTCATCACATGTCCGAGGTGCGCGACATGTATTGAATTATTTTAATTTTACATTATCTCTTAAACTATGCGTCCAAGTAACATGGTATAAAGAACAAAGTTTATCTTCATAAAATTGTCTTGATGAAGTAACTTTCATTCGTAAGGATAAATAGACCAGAATAACGCTCATAAATCACTTTTAAATTTTCAATATTTTTTTGTCGCAAAATACCAAATTATGGCTTATGTATAAGAAATAGACATATGGTATCGCGGACTTTTTTTAGACGGAGTAAAGGTCTATATTTCTCTAGAACATTGTATTTACGTATCCCTAACGATAACACCAGTGAATCTGGCTATTACATACAAAAAGAATTTTTCAAATTGGACTGGTAGTTACAGAGATTAGCGCGTTTAAACAAACAAAAAAAACAAAAAACTCTTCCGCTTTATTATATTAGTATAGATTATACACAAAGACTTTAGGCAGGGGCGTAGCTACCGCCGTATCAGCCGTATCAATGATACGGGGCCCCCAAGCTACAGAGGCCCCGAACGTAAGCAAAAATTCCAAGGACTCCTATGGGACAGGAAAGGCTATCACTATTGTCTATATAAGCAAAGTATTTAGTAAAACTGAAATCGTCTTCAGTAATGAATGCCGCCGAATCGTCTTCAGCTATGTTCGCCGAACAAAAGATAAGAAAAGTGTAGTGACTTCCAAAAAGGAGACGGTACTCAAATCGACGCGTATGTTTTTTTTATGTGTGTTACCTCATAACTTTTTACTGGGTAGACCGATTACGATGATTCTTTTTTTATTTAAAAGCTGGTACTTCTAGTGTGGTCCCATATGAATTTGATCAAGTTCAGACCAACAGTTTTTGAGTTATTCTTAAATAACTTATATTGAAGTCGGCTGTACAAAATTTTTAATTTTAAATTATGATTTGAATTGTTTGGCTAGCTTATAGTTCCTAGGAGTATTAATTGTAAGTAATAGTTTAAAATCAATATATAATAATTTAAATTCAATGCAAGCGTGTTTGTTCCTTTTATGAAATCTTTACTCTTCATTGGGGCCCCTCAACAAATTTTGATACAGGGCTCATCTAAGGCACGCTACGCCACTGACTTTAGGAGACTTTTATCGATCTTAAATTTTTAAGATACTTTGAAAATAAGTAAAGGAGGGGATGGGATGGTGTGAGGGGCAGTATTTTTGACTTCAGCAGCCCTGGTCGGCATCTGTCCGTGCTACACCACTGTATTGTACCTGGTTGTGTTGGGCGCTGTACAATCTTCCATCAGCGTGAGGCAGGTGAACTGACTTGATGCGGCTCTGCGTCAGGTCGTAGCGTATGATGTCTCCCGGGTGGCCCGACTCGTTCGCTTGGTAGAAGAACGACCCGCTGTACACTATGTGTCCATTGCCCTGGAATAGTTAACAAGTTTTTATATACGGTAGAGCCACGCTGCAGCTATATTATGATTGTGGCAGGATTGGGTCGGCTCGATTGGAAGGACCACGCTTTCAGAAAATACCAGCTTAAAACAGCAGCTTAATGTTGCTGTGTTTCGTATGGTAGTGACTGCAAACGAGGCATTCCTTTACCTTTGTCCTGAGGGGATGACAATGCATCTGAATTATGATTCTTAATTGAGGATACATGTAGATGTTTATGAGCTACGATGATGTTTATGTTTATTTATCCAAGTACCATCAGTTGGACTGTGTGCTCGTTTGTCACCCTTAATGTAGAAAAAAGTGTTTTTTAATTATATGCTGACTTAAGGATGTTTGAATTGGATTTATTCGTTGGTAGAGCTCATTTTGTAGTCTTTTTCTATCACTAACATCCTTCTGCCTATTTCTACTGCCAATTAGCAATGCATCCAGTGGTGTGTATATAATTAATTCTACAGAATTAATTTTATATTAATTTTAAAATATTTTATAAATAAATTGACCTATATAAAATATAATAGAAATATAATAGAGTAAATATTATACTTACTCAATTATATTTTTATGTCTAACATATAACTCACGACATACTATATTCTGTTGCTGCCTTTAAATATGCGGAAACTGTCTAAGATTTTTAAAACTATAGATTTTCGTAAACGTAACTCCGCCCGAAAATAGATATGAATTACCCTCAGTAGGAATTTTATTTTAAAAATTTGAGTCATATTAGCCAATTAGTAAAGTCATACAAAGAACGGTTTCTGCAGCTTGTGGTATTCGTCGACGTGGTCAGCTTTAAAACTGACTTTGGTCCTGTATTCTCGGAGCCTCTCCACGTCGCTCTCTTGCGTTGTCCAAAATTTCTCTTTCTGTAATAAAAAAATTAATTTTATTGTTAATCACGTCACGACATTTAAAATACAATATTCTAGAGCGGCAAATATTTGATTTTATTTTTAACATTGTAGTTTTGAAAACATCAAACATGACACCATCAAACTATGATTATAATAATTATTGTATAATAAGAGAAAAAAATACAACAGCGAGCAACCCGGGTTCGATCCCCGGCGGCACCAATGAGATTGTTTATTATAATTTTAAGTGCTGATTTCCCACCTACTCGGCGGTGAAGAAAACATCGTGAGGAAACCTGATGCTGATGAACCTGATTTTGTAGATGTCTGAGAAATAAGAAAAAAGAAATTCGAACACAAGTGAAGTTCGCCAACACGCATTGGGGCAGCGCAGCGGACATTTTCTTGCCCTAAAACCCTCTCAGAAATGAGAGGAGGCAGAGGGGTATATAGGCTGTTACTTTAACTCCGTCCGTAACCGTGTCTAATGACAATCAATTTATTATTGGACTTGCAATGATAATAATAAGCGCGCACACGACAAAGAATGACCCAATCTTACTCATGACATACCTCGGGAATTCGCACTAAGATTTTTTCTTTAAAAAAGGAACAAGCAATGACACTAATAAAACGTTTTACTACTTCAAATTCAAGTTTGTGACAGTAGTCGGATGGCAGATTCAAACCCACGATATTTTATGTTAGCGCGTCACTTGTCTCGCGGAGAAACTGAGTATTTATTGCCTTAAGCATAAAATATTCTTCCGGTTAAAGTTGTTCAAAATTAATTTGCTTATATCCGCATAATGAAATCAAATGATGTGTCTTACCTAGTTCTAAGTAGAAGAGCTTGGTTTGACTTAGCGGTCAGCCACCGCAGAGTCTACTCCACCTGAAGGTGCTTCGTGTACAGGCGAAAAAGTCGTATTATCGACGGTGGTGAGTCTTTCCTAGTATAGTGGTGCTGGGATTCGTGGTGATGGGGATAGTGCACACAATTTAGAAAGGTGCTCTTAAATTTAGGTAAGACATCATTTTATTTCATGACGTGGATATAAGCCAAGTAATATTTAACAACTTTAATATAATGGATTTTCGCAAAGTAACGCCTGATTCTATTTATTATTTTATTATTCTTCTACATCAGCCCCTATAAGTCCACTGCTGGATATGCCTCTCTCTCGGTTAGTATTTTCGTCAATCTTCACGATTAGTAGAATTTGACGATTGCAGTAACAGACGCATAATACACACTTTAATTTGAAAATGACATCGACAAAATACACACTTTACTTTGAAAACGCCGTCGATAAAGTACACACTTTACTTTAAAAACGACGTCGATAAAATACACTATTTACTTTTAAAATGACGTTGACAAAATACACACTCTACTTTGAAAACCACGTCGACAAAATACACACTTTTCTTTGAAAACGACGTCGAAAAAATACACACTTTACTTTGAAAACGACGTCGACAAAATACACACTTTACTTTGAAAATGATGTTGACAAAATACACACTTTACTTTGAAAACGACGTCGAAAAAATACACGCTTTACTTTGAAAACGACGTCGACAAAATACACACTTTACTTTGAAAATGACGTCGACAAAATACACACTTTACTTTTAAAACGACGTCGACAAAATACACACTTTACTTTGAAAATGACGTTGACAAAATACACACTTTACTTTGAAAACGACGTCGATAAAATACACACTTTTTTTGAAAACGACGTCGACAAAATACACACTTTACTTTGAAAACGACGTCAACAAAATACACATTTTACTTTTTACTACATATTACAACTACTAATAAAAATATTGTACCTGTAACTCAGTCGCGTTAGAATCTCTTAACCAGGCTCCAAACAACTCATCTTTGTAGCGATGGTACACTGGCTTGCCTATGGCGTAAAGTTGGCAGTCTGGAGAGTGAAATGTCAATCAGTTAGTATACTTGATAAAAAAAATGTTGTGTTAGGTACATACACACCTCATTTCGTACTGTGAGTACCGTAAGGTCGTAAGAGGCAACTACGGGAAATGCGAGAAAACTTTTTTGGCTTCAGATAGATCGCGGGGCTGTATAACCATCTCGTTTGCGTTAGACGTAATATAAGTACAAAGACTTGCGACGAACAGCAGCGTCATTTGTACGAAACGGTTCATATAATATATTAATGTACTCTATGGTGGAACATCTGTTACTTCGATTGCCAATATCTACCTAGGCTTAAAATTACCGTGTAGTGGCGGTAAAAATATCCACTACCCCATATCATTCCGTGGATGTTGTAAAAGGCGACAGAGGGTAATAAAATGAAATGAAGATTTATTTGCTTTGAAAAAGGGTACTTTTAGGTGGTTATTGTAAAGTGTAGTTCAGCTTTTTCAGCCATCTATGAATAGGATGCAAATACATTTTTTTATAATTAAGAGTTTACTATATTACAATGTCAAATTCAAAAAACTATAACAGTTTTTTTATTAAGTCATCTTAAAATGCCGAATGAATAGTTTGTATAAAATTTAAAATGTTGTACAACCGACTTCAATATAAAAAAAATGAAAACATTATCAATGTAGTCGAAGACAATTAAATACGCATTATTAAGAATAACCCAAAAAATACTGGTCAGATATTGACCAAATTTATATGAAACCACAAGAAAAGCACCAACTTTCAAATAAAAAAGTATCATCAAAATCGGTTCTTCTAGAAAAAAGTTCTGAGTTAACACACATCGAACAAAAATTAAAAAATACTGTGGATTGAGAATCTCTTCCTTTTTTTGAAGTCGATTGAAAACTGTATTTACATGCACTTGTAAAACGGATCGTTAAGAAGAACGAAACGTTTCTTGAATATAGGATAAGAATCGGGCATTAAAAATAAAATATGAAATATCAGAACAGAACGAAAGCCAAATGATCTTCGCCTTTCGCTAGCTTATAGCAATGCTCTCGAAACTACATGGCCAAAGCAAATATTTCTTAGCATCTATGAAATTTACTTGTGTTTCTTCTAGGCTTAAAACCAGCTGTGGAGTTCATTGTTGATATGAGCAGTTGGGCGCGATCACACCGTGGGCATGTAGGGCAGCGCTGCACCTTGCACAACTCCTCGTATGAAGTAAACGGTGGCGGTCGTGATCCGTACTCCATCGGTTGTTCGACCAAGGTTTGCTGGTTAGGACCTGGATCTGTAAGTGACAATAAAATTTGTTAATATATTTTTAGTTTATTATAAGGCCCATAGACTTAAAAGAAAAGTGCTGAGGTGATCACATCATCAGAAAAGCGACAGAAAATAAGGACTACATACCACTGCACTATGCGTTAATTATCTGACAGCGCCAAGATAGTTTAAAGTTGACAGTATTTATGCTCCAAAGTGCTGAATAAATTAATATATTTATGACAAAAGAAAAACGTGGATTAATGTTAAGTTTAAATATATTTCTGAATTCGTTATACTACCTTACCTACCCCATATTACAAATGCTTTCCAACACTCATAATCACGTTCTATCAAGAAGTGTTGGCGGGGGCGATCCTGAACATGGAGGCCTACGAATATAACATGACAAGTTTGCAGTTCAAGATCGGACCAAAATTACTAACCGAAGGAATCAGATGTCAAATATTACACATCCACATGAATAAGGGTAGTTATATTTTTTTTACAGGATAAAGGTGACAAACGAGCACACAGTCCACCTGATGGTAAGTGGTTGCTGTGGCCCATAGACATCTACATCTATCTTCGATTACAAATCAAAATGCAGATGCGTTGTCACCCACGAGGACTAAGATGGAATGCCTTGTTTCCAGTAAAAAGGGTCTCCGGTTCTCTACACTCACCATACGAAACACAGCAGCGTTAAGCTGCTATTTTACGCTGGTATTCTGTGAGAGCGTGGTCCTTCCCCGGTCGAGCCAACCTTTTCGTGCTACAACCATAATATAGCTGCAGCATGGCTCTACCACGTATAAAATATATGTAGTCGTTGTAAATTTAAATATTATGTAGTTGTTGCATAAATATAAGAAATTATTATGATGAATATACGCAACAGAGGCATGCTGCAGTTATATTATCGTTGTAGTGCTAATGGTGGGGAAAGAACCGCGCTCTCACAGAATAGCAGCTTAATGCTGCTTTCGTATGGTGAGTGTAAGCGGAGACCCTTTTACTGGAAACGAGGACATTCCATTTTACTCCTCAGTGGTGAAACCGCATCTGCATTTTGATTCTTAATCGTGGATAAATGTTGATGTCTACGGGTCACAGCATCCACTTACCATCAGGTGGACTGAATGCTCGTTTGCCACCCTTATTCTATAAAATAAAATTTACATTAAAATATTTCAAAGAGGTGTGAAGGCCGCCGACCTAAACTATAATCTTAGAAATAAATGAGATTATTACGTAGTACATAGCAGTAGTACAGCAGTAGGTAGTTTATCTGGTTTATATTCCAGTCCAGAAGTTTGAAGACGTTTTCAAGCTTCTGGACTGGAAAGGATACGGTATTAACATCAATGGCGAGTACATCACTCACCTTCGATTTGCTGAAGATAAAGTCCTTATGACAGAATCGCTGGAGGACCTAAGCACTATGCTAAATGACCTCAATAGTGTTTCCCAACGGATAGATCTTAAGATGAACATGGAAAAAACTAAAATCATGTTTAATGTCCATGTCACACCTATGCCGGTAGATGTTGGGGTGACTAAGTTCGAAGTTGTTGACGAGAATGTTTACCTGGGACAAATAGTCCGACTAGGTAAGTCCAACTTCGACCGAGACGTCAATCGGCGGATTCAACTCGGTTGGGCAGCGTTCGGGAAATTACGGCACATCTTCTCGTCAGGTATACCTCAAAACTTGAAAACACTGGTACTGAGACGTGGTCCTTCACTGCTGGCCGGATGAGGAAGCTCAAGGTCGCTCAGCGAGCTATGGAGAGGGCTATGCTCGGAGTTTCTCTGCGTGATAAACTTAGAAATGAGGATATCCGCAGTACAACCAGAGCGACCGACATAGCCCAACGGATTAGTAAGCTGAAGTGGCAATGGGCCGGCCATATAGCTCGAAGAACCGACAACCGTTGGGAAAAAAGGTTCTCGGGTGGCGGCCTCGTACTGGCGGACAAAGTGTAGGGCGTCCTCCCTCTAGATGGAGTGACGACATCGTAAGATATGCAGGAAGTCGATGGATGCAGGTGGCTCAGGACCGTGCTTTGTGGCATTCTTTGGGGGATGCCTATGTTCAGCAGTGGACTTGTGAAGGGCTGTAATGATGATGATGATGATAACTTCGTTATGAATAAAACTAGAACCCTGAATTTTATTGTATAAACTCGGTATATTTCAAATTTCATTATATTTGAACCAGTAGTTTAAGAGATAACTAGTCAAAGTTTCTTAACTTTGTCACTCACTGACTGACCGATCATTAAAACTCTAAGGCACTTCTAGCAGACATAGAAGCTTCAAATTTGAAATACAAGTATTGTTTATATATAATATATAAATTAAGGAAAAATTTAAATATATTGCCATTTCTGTCCAGTTTTCGAGATACACCAACAGTATAAATAACATTGTAATCCTATATATTTATATAGGATTACAAAGTTATTTATGCGGTTGGTGTATCTCGAAAACTGGTATTACATTTGCAGTGAACGAATCAGTGTACCTATATATGTATAATATAATGGAATAATAGGTGTACATAGGTACGTAGATATAACTATCTACAAAAAGAAATTAGATGAAGAAGATTAGAACCGACTTGGTATTACATGGATCTCACAACTATTTACGGTAGAAGAACTGAGTTTCGAGACTTGGGGTTTTTTTACAAGTTATGTTTTTGATGGCATTTATTTATTTATGTATACTCACACATTAAACGAATATGTCCCTTAACAGTTTGGTTATTGAGTTCATTCTTCGCCACACAACTGTACTGCTTCAAATCGTGTTCCCTAATTCCAGGTATTTCTAGTCGCATTATCCACCGCCAGGGGTCACCAGTGCTTACCGCCTCAGTCCTATATCTGGGTCCTTCGATAGTCACTCCGTCTACTTCCCAGGCAAGTACTGGCTCCGGCCATGCCTGGACCTGTATAAAGAATTACGAAGTTATTGAGAGCGTGTTATTATTCATCTTTATATATGATGATACTACTATAGTATACCACAGTTTAAAGCCAGTTCTCTCTTTAAACTATGACTGTAATTATATTTGTATTATGAACTACTAGATGGAGTGTTGATTTGGTAGGAAGTCGATGGATGCAGGTGGTTCGGGATCGTGCTTTGTGGCATTCCTTGGGGGAGGCCTATGTTTAGCAGTGGACTTGTGAAGGGCTGTAATGATGATGATGATGATATATTAAATTCCGGCGTGCTGGTGTTCGTAATTCTTCATCTTCTAAATGGCATGAACGTTTTTGTTGAAATTTCTATAGGGTATTTATGGGGTCACCTGGATGTTTCTTAACTTTAGTTCGACTCGATAGATCGAGATTTTTTCGAGATCCAGAAATCGTTCGTGGAAAGCCGGGCTGGATTGCTAGGTAGTAATATAATACACATTTAAAAATATTATAGCGGTGTTTATCAAGGTAAAGTAAAAATAAAAGTTAAATTATTACTACAACGGACGAAATACAAGAACAATTGATATAGCCTTACCAAGACAGTATGATTTATCATCAAGGGCTTCCCCTCTTACTAGTTGGTGTTTGTAGTCAATAATTGGCTGATAATAGATAATAATAAAACTTATGAATATGATGTACAGGCAATGGGCTGGCTACGTCAAAAAAGAACTGGAAACCGATGGTAAAGATATATTCCTCTACTACCTAATGTCCTACAGATCGAATTACGTTCAAGGCGGCCAGCCTCAACGGAAACTAGCCATCGGTACAGGGCAGGATTATTGTGCACGAGTGTATGCGCAGGCACAGGTCCACTTTTTATTCCCTCACTCTCATTCATAGTCCGATGGGACGGTAAACCTACACAACCGCAGAGAGATCGGGCGCAGGACCAACGGCTTTACGTCCTATCCGAGGTACGTTGGTGGGACACCACCAACTTCCTGACTTCGGGCAGCTATTGAGAATTTCTTGAGGGAAATACTCAATAACTGATTTTTACGGCCCGACCCGGGATTCGTACCCGGGACGTCATGATCGGCAGTCGCATTTACAACCACTAGACCAACGAGGCAGTCATCTACCTATAGGTATATTTACCCTACTGGAATACGCTAGTGAGTGCAAATCTGCGTAGCAGTCTTGATAAGTACAGATCAGTATAGTTACAAAATACTTTAGATAAATAAGTACTTGCCCGTATAAGCCCTTTCGTTCTTTTAGTATTGCACGCCTCATAACGCGAATCGTTATTAGGTGTTTAGTACTTTCAACACGTCAAGGTCAATTGTGTGTTCTTAAAATGCCTCTATCATAACCATATTGCACTTATACGGTAATATGAGTAGCCGTATATCAAGAAAACACTCTAATTAATCCATCTTATATTTTCTAAAAAATCATTTTATATTGGTACTTTAATAAAAAAACGGTTAGAAAATTTTTTTACGTGGACGTCAGGATGTTGATTTTGTATGTGGTCACGATAACTCCCTAAAAACTTGACGTATCAAGACCGGGTCTTTTTAATTAGCTTCAGAATTACATCAACTGGTTCCCTATTTCATATCAATAGCCTAGTACGCGTCGTTTGTTAATAAAATGATTTTAAAATTATATATATTTTATTGCTATTAAAATTTTTAAGGTGCATTAATTTTTTTCTTTAGCCCTTTATAGACAAAGGACTAACCATACAGCCTATATGGATTTTATACTTAGCATAATCGATTTATTTTGGTATTTTTTTTCCTCAAAACTAAATGAAACGCTCATGAGGCGTGCACCTGTGGATTTTCCAAACTATTTAATTCTGTGCTTAATTATTTTTCTTAACTTACCTCACATTCTATTCTTCCTGTCTTGTTAAATACGTAGACTACGTTGTTCGGCACACGGATGTATGGACTGACTGCAAATTAAAGATGCTCCATGTTAATTTATTTACGTTATTCCAAACAACACTACAGCACACTGTAACCGTAATGGCGATAGGCAGTAGCATCTTTTTTTCTAGAATAATGCTGACTAACGAGCGCACTCTCCACCTGAGGGTAAATGGAGATATCTATATCAATCCTAAAAGATTAAAAATACGTTGTCATCCCTTAGAAATTCTTAGTCCTGCAATGCCTCTTCACCAGTAAAAAGAGTCTCCGGCACTCAACATAAAGATGCTATTTTACGGTGATGTTATATGAGAGTGTGATCATTCCCTGTCTATATATAGATAATAGCTGCAGCGTGGCTTTACTACGTATAAAAAGCGTCATCCGAATAATAGCTAACCCGACAAGCATTGCAACTATGTCACATATCCCCCTTATGAAGTCAATCTATAGGAAGGCCTATGTTTAAGAGTGGACTTTGATAGGCTGTAATAGATGAATTAATTCTAAACAATACTTATCTTTGCTTTCCCTACCAATCGCAATGTGGTAAGAGACTATGAATGAATTGCGTAGTCTCTGAAAGTATGTAACTGGCAAGATAGAAATTCATATAAAAGATATGAATTTCTCTTATACAGGGTTATCTTGCAATAGACGGCCAAATTTGCAGAGAAAGCTTAGAATAAGTAATATAGGCAAATAGACTAGAAAATAAAAAAAAAATCTCAAACCTTCTGTCCTTTATATGTTTTAAATTAAAAATGCGTGGTAATGCACTATTAACTAGTTTTACTGCGCACGCACACATTCGTAAGGGTCGATCGGTAGGCAAAAACCAAAAACGTCCTTGGCCATAAATGACATTCAGTTTGGGATAATTTCAAATAAAAGTAGTAGCCTTATTTACTCGTATTATCAAAAACTGCAATAACATTATATCATGATTTAGATTTTAAACTTAAGTTTAAAATTTGGCTACTCTTTGAAAAATTTTTACATGGTAGAGCCATGCTGCAGCTATATTAGTGGTATAGTTGTAGCTCGACCGGGGAAGGACCACGCTCTCACAGAATACCAGCGTAAAATAGCAGCTTAACGCTGCTGTGTTTCGTATGATGAGTGTAAAGAACCGGAGACCCTTTTTACTAGAAATGAGGCATTCCATCGTAGTCCACACGGGTGACAACGCATTTGCAATTTGATTTGTTATAGAGGATAGATGTAGGTGTCTATGGGCTGCAGCAACCACTTACCATCAGGTGGACTGTGTGCTCGTTTGTCACCCTTATCCTATAAAAAAAAATTACCGTGTATAGCTTAGCCAAAGCTAAAAGCAAAGCTTGTCCACGTATTGAGCACGTTATATCTGCTTCTTCGTCTTCATCAGCCCGTTAACGATTAATGCTGTACATGGTCCTTACACGTTAATCGCCACGATTTGCAGGCAGATTGGCGATAGCAATAGCAGAACCGTCGTCGGTCTGTGCATTTTAAGTATGGCGTAAACAGTAGATCCATATACCACATTTCGAAAGCCATACGATCTTTCTGGCGATTTCCGTAATATATTGCGGTGTGTTACTACACCGGAGCCAATATTTGTGCTACAAAATATTTTTTTTCTTTTTTTTTCTTTAAAAACGTTACCCCGGCACTAGGATTTTCTCCTGTATCGTGGAGGCAGTTTACAAACACAAATTGCACAAGGACAAACATCCAGACGCTGAACAATTATTTGTAGGCCATACAAACACTTGTTCCGTGCGGGATTCGAACCCGCGGCCCCCAGCGCAGCAACTCATTGCTAAGCCACTGCGCCACGGAGCCGTAAAACAAATTGTTAGTTTTGCGGGTCTAATTGTGTTTGTTCCAAGTTTCTGACGTTGCTAGAATACCTACCCTCGATCAAATTGCGTACACACATCAAGCACGGTTAGGTGACAGTGAACGCAAATGTTTACTTGCTATTAGCGTTTGTATGTGTGTTTGTGACACAAAATTTTTACGAGTAGTAATTTTTTTCAGTTGTATAAGAAAAAGAAGAAAATAGTAGAGAGTATATTGCTGCTTGCACATTTCATGTGTTACAGAGCCAGAAGGACTCACGGGAAAAAGGGGAGTCCTGCCATATAGTAAGCCACTATACAGGTTTTTCACGATGTTTTCTTGACTACGACTACGAGTGCTTTCAATTCTAATAATCGAACTTTGGTGTCTCACGTGCTGATTTTATTTGACTTTACTAAAAAATGACTTCGAAGAACCAAGCTCTATCCCCGGCCTGTTTTTACAAGGGGAAACGCTTCGTTGAGGTAAGGACGGGTTATGTCGGACTCGCACCGACTAAAAAAAAAATGGTGTTCCACCTTCGCCGCATATTGGCAGTGCCACGGGAACGCTATCGCACACATCCGCGGTTGCATAGATTTCCCGTCCCATCAGTGTGTCTAGTATCGACAGCGTAAAGTTTACATAAGTTACGTCTCGAATGAACGAAATTGCCTCTCCAACCAATCACGTGCGTTAACGTTCTCACTGTCGAATGCGAGTAATCGGAATCACCATCGAGCATTGAGCTCGATGGTGATTCCGATTATTGCCATTAGTTGGCGCTGATTTTATTCCATACAAATTGTAGTTAATTTTCTCGGGATCGAACATGTAAAAAAAAAATCGCACTAGGCACACAGTTCCGGCCTACCTTTATATTTTTACTTACAGTTTATTTCGACGTCTACAGTCTGATTAGCGGACGGTAACATCCCGTTGTTTGCTATGCACACGTATTTTCCTGTATGCCATCGCGACACATTGGGGATGTTCAGGAGATGACCGCTGACGGTCGCATCACGCCACGGACCCTGTTTTGAGATTAAAGTTTTCTGTTAAATGTAAAGCTGATTCTTTTAAAGTCTGATAATTTAATTTTTTTTGTAAATATTATGGTTTAAATTTAGCAAATTAAATAAATTCGTCTAACGTCTTTTAACTTTATATGTATTATAGAAATATAATATATGTTTCAATAATATGTATAATCTTACAATGTGGTTTGTCTGTCTTAATTTGACACATGATAATTTCAGATGTTTCTGGTCTAATAAAATAAACATCTAGAAATAGAAATACAGTTTCACGGTATGTCTCTGTAAGGTAATGTAATAGGCCATAGGCCATATAGCTGGTAGAACGGACAACCGATGGGGAAAAGTTCTCGTGTGGCAGCCTTAAATCAGCAAGCGAAGTGTTGTGTGGTTACCCACTTGATGGAATGCCGACCTGGTGAGAGATGCAGGAAGCCGATGGATGCTGGTGGCCCATGACCGTGCTTTGTGACACTCCTTGTGGGAGGCCTATGTTAAAATGTGAACTTGTGATGGGCTGTAATGACGATGATGATGATGGAATGTCGAATGCAATCTTACTAACCTGTATAATAGCATTGCCGTCAACTCTGCGCCATTCGATTGTTGGATCGGGGCGTCCCATGGGATTGCAGCTTATTCGTAGTGTATCTCCTTCTCGAGCTGTCACACTAGTGTGGTCCACTGGGAAACAATTAAAATTAAATTATTTTTTTAGAAGTAAAAAGATGTATACGTTTCGAGGGAAAGATGTATACGAGGGTAAAACACTAAAAAGGGTGTTATTTATTTGATCTTTTACTTTTTGTGATACATACGAATGAACTTTGATGCAACAAGTACGAGTATTTTAATATAGTAAGTTAAAGTAACCTACTGTTACGGCCTACGACTGCTCCCTTAAAGGATCCAATCCTCTGGGGCCCATGAGCAGAAGACTTCCCGAGCAAACGTAGGTCGGGCCTCAATGTGGCCACGTGGAATCTCTCGAATTACACTAAAATATATGGGGGAGCGTTCTATACTACGGCCAGTCGACCGGCAGAGGAATTAGGCGGAGTTTACTTACCGATATCCAAGGCGACTGGTCCCTCCGGAGTCGGTCAGGTCACATGTGGTTGTGTAGTGAAAGGGAAATAAGTGATGTGATGTGTATCTGGGTGTGACTGATGGTGATTGAACCTAGACCTTGGCCGTCGTCAGCAGCCCGAGCGTCGACACCGCTCCAACTTGAGGGGGCTTCCGAGGTTGTCCACCGTCACTTTCTTCTTTTGTCACGTTGACAGTCAATTAACTCTATCGTACGATTAACTAACTTACAGAAGCCACTAACTATCGCTGGTTATAAGGTATACCGGTAGGTATACCGCCCAAAACGCGCACGGATTTTCTGGGTCAAAGGTCACTACCGTTTCGCGTTGCAACAGTTAGTTCTAGAATACAGAGGCCGCACTAGCTAATATTGTCGAATGCACTTATACAGATTCTGAGTCGGACCCAATAAGTCCCGGGGAAGCTCTCCAGTAGGGATACGCGCCACAAAATTCCTAGACCGTATTTTTACTGTCCGCGCTTAATTATTCCGAGTTCCCGCGCTTAATTGGCAGCGGGCCAATTGTTAGCACACCTGACAGACGACTCACTGCTGAGCCTTTTCACTCGCGACCCGCGCGCCACTGCCACGCGCGGCCGAACTTCAAACCAGTTCGCACCGAACCGAGTGCCCTCTGGCGTCGATTCCGACAACAGAGTTTTGCGCGAACAAACCCCCGTCCCGGACATAAGGATTTAGGTCCGCGAGCAAACCGGTCAGCGGGACAAGGTCGAGACTGCAAGTTGCAAGACCGAATCTACAACCAAACTAGGCCACCTTAGGCAACCCATCAGATCTTGCAACCCTAACCAACGCCTCAAAAGATAGCCCTAATGTGGCAAGCCGGAGGGTCAGCCTCCACTGGATGCCCCTCCTGGGCATCGCAGCACCTTAACCAGTCCAGTACTGGACAGAAGTCCGACGACCTCTTTCAAACACCTATCTGTGCCCCTATGATTAGTTCCGCAATCCGACCGGATCAGCTCTGCAAACAGCGACGCTACACGAAGATGCCCAGACAAATTTTGTGCCAGCAGTTGCTTCAGTGCAGAGCGCACCCACAAATTCCACTTGAACGTCGTCTGTGGAGAGCCGAACGAAACGCACAGATAGTCCCTAGTATGAATTTTCAACAAGTAGGCCTAGCCAGGCCACCCACCATATTATCATTTACTAAAATAGCGCGGCAGCTGATTTCAATCAGATAATCTCCAAAACTAGCTAGCCTGTTAGGCAAGTAGTCCTATGCTCATATTTCAACTAATTTTTTAAAAGCATCAATTTTCAGCTACAGAATTAATTCAACCAAATTAATCACCGATGCGCATAGGTCAACTTGCAAATTAAACAAAACAATAACGTAAGGGACAGCCCTACTTCTTTGCAAAGCAAAATGATTAAACACTATCATAAACATATAGATAATTTTTCAAATAGTGCGCCATTCAATTTCAAATGAATTCAAATTTTCCTTTCAGCAAACAGACGCAACAATCAAATACAGTGATTAAATATATGTACAAAACACATGCAGTAGCATTTAAAAGAGTAGATTAAATTCAATTCTTTTAATTTAAACCGCTACAAATAGAAAAATTTCGCGGAAAGCTCAAAGCATTTTTAAATTTTAATTCAAAGTATTTTTTAACTAAGTGCTCGACCAAACCAAATCTAATACCCCTTGACAGCGTGATTCAACGCTCCAGGGGGGCCCTAATCTTCCCACCACCAAGGGGAGGCCACATGGCGTGAACCCGAGATAAATAGAGCACAACCTCGAACAGTTGCCACTCGGGTTGTACGCCTTCACTGAGGCCGTCGGCAACAGAACATTTTGACAAGTGGACTGTTGACGGCTTAAGGCTCAGTGGAGGCGGCCGTGGTGGGAGCTAAGGCGGCAGCTAGACAGGGCCGCCTCCATCAAATGGGGAACAGTGGTACACCAGTCGCGGCCACTCAGTTAACGGAAGTGAGAAGGGTCCAGCGGACCGATGAGTGGCCGTGAAGTTCCTCTCCACACGCTGAGGGGGGGTGATGACACCCCTGCCCCTGGGGGAATTACCCCCCAACTGGTCGGGGGAGGGGCCCCTTTCAAACTTAGGGGCCTAGTGGCTGGCCGGCGAGCGCCGATTGTCGCCCAGCAGAGGGCGTGGCTGAGCGCCCCCGCCCGTGGGGGTCGAGGGCCTGGCAGAGCCCCGAGAGGAGACGCCGTTCGCACCCAGGCACAAAACTGCATGGTGATTGCCCTGGCAATGCAGACAGGGCCGTCGATGCGGACAGTCTCGCTGGAGGTGCCCTCCCAGACATGAACAGCACCAGCGGCGCTCCTTGGCGATAGTTCGCCTCGCCGAAACCGGCTTACCTAATAATTTCGGGCACGACGTTACCCGATGATCAGACGCTCGACAATAGGAGCAGGGGGGGGGGGGGGGGTTGACGACGACTTGCCTGGAGGATTCAGCCTCTCACTGGGCACGTCTCGTAAGTCGTTAACGGTGCCCGCCGTGTTCTCGATCTGCCGGCACTGCTCCTCCAAAAACCGCAGCAGGTCATAGAAGGGCGGAATATAGGAGGCCTCGTCCCCGCCGTACCTCTCCTCAAAATGGATTCGAAGGTCGAGAGGTAGACGGGACAGCACGATGCGGTGCAACAAAAAAGCCCATTCGCCCACTGGTAAACCCAGCCGCCTCAACGTATTACAGGCCACCAAGACTGGATCCAACAGGTCCGGACGCAGTCTGGCCCGGTCACTAAGCAGCAGGAGGCTTAGAAGCTGCTTAACATGTTCGTCCGCAATTCGCCGGACGTTGGCGTATCTTCTGGCTAGGAGGTCCCGAGCAGTCTGGTAGGCGTCGTCCGACAATCTCAAGTGGCCGACAACGCCCAGGGCCTCCCCCTCCAGTGAGGCCAGGAGGTACACCATCTTTTGGCTCGGGGTCAAGTCACTCCGGGCGTCCACTAGGCTGTCGAAAAGACCAACGAAGGTCAGCCATTCGGAAAGGACCCCGGAGAACTTTGGCAGGTCCAGAGTTGGGAGTCGTCCCAACAGCTCCGGCTGAAGCTGCTTTAGAGAGGACTCGGACAGGTCACTCATCCGAGCTTCACGCGCCTCCTCGGCATACCTGCCTTCAGCCTCGATCAACTCGTCCGTGAGCCACAAGAACTGCTCATAGTCCGCGAAGCAGGAGTCCAGGACTCCCTTCTCCACATCCGAATCCTCGAGCTCAGCGTAAGCCTCCTCCAATGCGGCCCTTCGAGCATCCACCTGCTCGAATCGCTTCATCAAGTTATGGACCCTATCCGGTCGACCTATCAAAGCATGGGCGCTTGTGGCCCAGCGTAGCTCAGTCCGCAAACAACGGATCAGTAGCTTGGGCGATGTCTTCACTATTAAATGCAAAATTACGACGCGGCTTGAGCACAGACTACAAAAATAACAAACAAAAAATACAACAAAAATTAACAGTTAATAAATGCAGTTCCTATCAAATCGCGTTGAATAGAAATTACACAAATACGAATTACTACGTATCAAGCAAATACAAGTTAGCACAAAAGAAAAGACACAAATCAAATTAACAAATAACAAATACTAGTGCGATCAAATCAAGTTAAATTCAAATTGCGCAAATACAATTACTACTCTTTAGTTCAAATACAAATTACAATATAAACGAAGATACACATCACGGTCGATCAACGAAAAATGCCTAGCTCGGAACCTTCGATGAATAATCCACTACAACTATCCGACAACGATAATTAATCGATTACGTAAAAATAACCATCTACCTACATGACATATATCTCTAGAAAAACTCCCGCTTGCACAACCTAGGGCGCGGCTTTTCAAATTACCCTCTAACCAAAAAAAAGGCAAGCAACAAAGCAACAAAGGAAAATAATTCTATTATGACGTACAAAAAAATATTTTTGCGTATTACGGACGGGCGTGATTGTAGATACAAATTAAACCAATCAAACCAACGCTCCCTGCCACCAGAATTGTTTAATGTTTATCAAACACTATGGTCGGGATCGACCGGGAATCGAACCCGGAACCGCGCTCTGCTACCAGTTTGTTACAGCCTACGACTGCTCCCTTAAAGGATCCAATCCTCTGGGGCCCATGAGCAGAAGACTTCCCGAGCAAACGTAGGTCGGGCCTCAATGTGGCCACGTGGAATCTCTCGAATTACACTAAAATATATGGGGGAGCGTTCTATACTACGGCCAGTCGACCGGCAGAGGAATTAGGCGGAGTTTACTTACCGATATCCAAGGCGACTGGTCCCTCCGGAGTCGGTCAGGTCACATGTGGTTGTGTAGTGAAAGGGAAATAAGTGATGTGATGTGTATCTGGGTGTGACTGATGGTGATTGAACCTAGACCTTGGCCGTCGTCAGCAGCCCGAGCGTCGACACCGCTCCAACTTGAGGGGGCTTCCGAGGTTGTCCACCGTCACTTTCTTCTTTCGTCACGTTGACAGTCAATTAACTCTATCGTACGATTAACTAACTTACAGAAGCCACTAACTATCGCTGGTTATAAGGTATACCAGTAGGTATACCGCCCAAAACGCGCACGGATTTTCTGGGTCAAAGGTCACTACCGTTTCGCGTTGCAACAGTTAGTTCTAGAATACAGAGGCCGCACTAGCTAATATTGTCGAATGCACTTATACAGATTCTGAGTCGGACCCAATAAGTCCCGGGGAAGCTCTCCAGTAGGGATACGCGCGACAAAATTCCTAGACCGTATTTTTACTGTCCGCGCTTAATTATTCCGAGCTCCCGCGCTTAATTGGCAGCGGGCCAATTGTTAGCACACCTGACAGACGACTCACTGCTGAGCCTTTTCACTCGCGACCCGCGCGCCACTGCCACGCGCGGCCGAACTTCAAACCAGTTCGCACCGAGCCGAGTGCCCTCTGGCGTCGATTCCGACAACAGAGTTTTGCGCGAACACCTACATAAAATACCGTAAAATATTCTATTTTATACTACACTTGGCAACCCTAGTTCCTTATCGAAAATTTTCAGTTAAAGCTACCAGCTAATAGAGTTCTTTCACAGTACGCGAGCATCCCGGGTTTGATCCCCACCGGCACCAATTAAATTGTTAAATTTAAGTGCTGATTTACCACATGCTCGGCGGTAAACATCGTGAGGAAGCCTGCTTGTCTGAGTAATAAGAAAAAAAAAATGTTTTCGAAGACATGTGTAGTTCGCCAACACGCATTGGGGTAGCGCGGCTGTCATTTCCTTGCACTAAAACCCTCTCAGAAATGAGAGGAGGTCTGTGTCTGTGGGACATATATAGGCTGTAACTTGAAATTTTAAACTTTAAGAAAGATAAAATCTGCCAAGACAAAGCATGTTAAACGACTTACTTGCGAATGTGGGAGGAATAAACAGCTCCTTTTCCTTAGTATAATTGTAAATAGAGAGGCCAGGTCGACCGGGAGCACCATCACGTCCGTCATTGCCACGTTGCCCCTTCGGTCCAATGGGCCCTCGGTCACCTTTCGGGCCACGGACACCTGAAGGACCAGGAGCGCCAGGCCTGCCTGTAAATGAAGATAAAATGTATTGATTTTAGTACATATCCTTAGTATTTATAATACATCCCTATTTAATCAATTCGTAAAACTCAATAGCTGGACATTGGTTACTAGCCGTACAGCGTACCGACGAGCAAAGTGAATGACTGCCTTCTACTAGATGGAGTGACGAACTGGTAAGGTATGTAGGAAGTCGATGGATGCAGGTGGCTTCTGGCCGTGTTTTGTTGCATTATTTGGGGAGGATTATGTTCAGCAGTGTAATGTGATAAAATTCTATTAAAGGACATGTTGATAGAAAAGACCTCAAAACTCCTATGGCCTCCGGTACAACCATATATAAAAATTAATTGCCGTGCGTTAGTCTCGCAAAAAGTCGAAAATAGCTCGACCGATATTAAAAAAATTCATGTGTGTTTGTTTGGGTCCCTGGATGGTTTAGATTGACAATTGAAGCCGGTAGGTGGAGCTGTTGTCGAGATCCAAAAATCACCCGTGCGAAGCCGGGGCGGATCACTAATCTCTTATACAAGGGTTACTGGGAACTGGACAACTTCCTGGTAGGGCGTGATAGGGGGAGTCAAAATGCTACAAATTTATCTCTCACGCCCTGCCCTGTCAGTTAGTTGTCGAGATCTCAGTAAACCTTTATACGGTTCACAGGCAATGTCAAACGTGTGAGACTTCTGGTACAGTAGGCACCAATACGCCTGTCAAGCGTGACAATTTTGGCAAATCCACTGGTGATGATAAATGGGAAAGGTGTGTATATGTAACAGTGAACAGGTTGAAAAAGAAAAGAAAGAATAAGAAATTTTAAAAAAGAACGAATAAGAAATTAAAAAAAAAATAAGAATCCCTTTAGAATAATTTTACACACAAACATAAACTTTTTACTAACCGAGTGTTACTGCTTACGACTGTAAATTCAATTTTTGAATTTTGCTGCGTAAAGATACTGGCCGAGAAGAAACTGCATGCTAAAGGAAATTTTATGTAAAAAAGGATACAGAGGAAAACAGAAAGGAATGAGGGCATCCACGACTTTTTCTGCCACCAGGGCGGCGCCACTTAGAAGTGAGGTATAATATTTGACAGATTTCATAGCGAGGAAGTTACTTATTTCGAAAAATGTAAAGGTTAATGTTTATTTCTGTATTATAAGCTATATTTTATATTAATTAGATTAAAATTAAAAAAAAAACAATCCACAGATATTCATAAATGTAGAAAAATTTAAAAAAAGTTAAAAATGTGCAAGAAATTAAAGAGCAAACCACAGAGGAATTGTTTTATGTATTAATATAATACTCTAGAAAATGATAAACTTTTATTTAAAACTAACTTCTCTATTAAACGACATCGAGTAAGTAACAAAAAACTTTACCTCAGTGTCAACTAGCGACATCTGGTGAGCAGAAAATTATTAGCCCTCATTACTGAAGCTATCGATTGCGTGCATAGCCAACATAATATTTTTAATATCGCTATTTAATAAAACAAATGCAATACCAAAATATAAAATATTGTAAAATAACGCTGTTTTTTTGGATAATATATCACCATTCAAACGAGTTCAAGTTTTATTGAAGTCCCAATACCAAGTTCAAAGACAACTAGACTTGTTTTTCATGGATCCCATATAAATTGAAAGAAAAAAATTGGGTAAGAAAATAGGAGATATACTATCTATTTAAACGACATTCTAGTTACTTTCCTTGTACCACTTAAAAGGGTATAATAGTTATATTTAAATTAATATATAATACAAAATGCTTATATGTATAGTACATAACAAAAAGCAAACAAAATACACCATGTCTTACCACCAACTTCAGAAGCTATTGTGTGAATTTTTTTCTTTTCTGTTTTTGAAGTCGCTTTTATTTTTTTAATAAAGTTTTAATTATATCTTAACTTATTTCTAGGCTTACTTACAACGATACTTTGTGTTGGTTTGTGTAGTAACTATTCACTTACCATCTTTACCGTCCTTTCCATTTTTCCCAGGACTGCCGTCTTTCCCTGGCATACCGTCCCGACCGTCCCTTCCGGGCGCTCCATCGGCTCCGTTCCTGCCTGATAATCCATCGAGGCCTGGCTCGCCCGGCACTCCATCTCTCCCATCCAGTCCAGGATTGCCAGGAAAACCACGTTCACCTGTGTAATAAAGTATAAGGTATTTATAATTTTCCTACTAGCTGCTCACCGCGACTTCGCCCGCGTGAAATTTAGGGTTTTAATTACGTTGCGTACATAATAACAATGACTTTTACAGCTCTAATCAACCATCGCCATAATAAACAATGCATTTACCAGGTACCTAGTTTAGTACTTTAAATTATTTGAATTAAATTGACCGTATTAAATTCCAATTAAGTGGTATTTGAAGACATATCCATATTAGGATAACATCACGAAACACCACAAAATTGCACTACCTATTCCGATCACTAATTATTACATATAGTCTGAGAGCTGGCGACGAATTTTGGAAAGGTCGTTTTGGCAAAAAATATAATCCCAGACGTTTTATATCGATTAAGAATCAAAACGCAGATCCGTTGTTACCCCTGAGGACTGAGATGGAATGCCTCGTTTCCAGTAAAAAGGGTTACTGGAAACTCCGGTTCTCTACACTCACCATACGAAACACAGCAGCATTACGCTGCTATTTTACGCTGGTTTAATCTTTTGTATATTAGTACTGCCTTTGCCATTACCGTTCCTGCCTTTCAAAGGGCCGCTGCTGAACATAGGCCTCCTTTATATATTGCCTCATAGGTGGGATATTTGCCTGGCAGGCGGGCTGGCAATCGCAATAGTTTTTGATTCCCTCTGTCATCTCATATGACTCACAAGGGATCGGGTAGTGGTTATTCTTACATCGCCACTACTGGAATAGGACATAGTGTTTTCACGCATTGCCTACATCCTTCAGCTATGCAGCATGTATAGCTGAAGCATGGTACTACCACGTAAACTCCTAATGCTTACTACTTATGATTAAATACCTTTTATACCGGGCGGCCCCACTGGTCCCCTGTTCCCGATAGGCCCTTTAGGACCCGGTACACCTGGAGGGCAATAATCCTGTGTGGCTTTGCAGAAGCCTTGCACAACTTTGTACTGAAAATAAGGAAACTTCCTCTAAAGCGAAATATTTTTCTTTTATAAGTGGCTACCAAAGCTGTTGAAAACAGAACTATAGATTACCTTCTAGGGGGAATATTTGTCGTAGTTGTCATGCTTGGTAGGCGAATTTATAACTGCATTTTTTTTGTTTTTCCGTTGATATCAGAAAGATGCTGCTGTCCATCTACTGTTTTAGTTTCCCACTGTCGTCTTTTACGACACTGATGGGATGATATGGAGTAGTCGATACTCTTAAGTCGCCGCTGCACGGCACAAAAATAGAAGAATATAATAAGAGAAATGTAGAGAAATAAATAGTTTATTATCAGACGTGTAAGAGAGGAAACGCCATAAAGAAATTAAACATGAGATGGGCATCAGCGTTTTCAAAGTAATTCAAAGTAATAAAAATGTGGTGACCACACAAGCGTGGCAACTATAGCAAATATCTTCATTACGGACAGTTTATAGGGACGCCTATGTTTAGCAGTGGACTATGACAGGCTGCAATGAATGAATGAGGGAGCGCTCGTCTTAAAGTTCATAGTCCGCAAAGTAATCGTGGTGTCTGGTGCTGAGTTCAGTCCTTGCCGGGATGTATTAAATTTATGTGCATTTTCATGAGCATGAAGCTTATACAAAGGGGAGACAGCATAAGCAACTGTGCACTGTGATTCTAAGTAGGTCCTGACGTCATCATAGTGGGCGTGGCTTTAGTTAGTATACTGTCAGCATTGGTCCTGTGCGCTTATGTGTTGGAAAAATCGCAAATCGGTGTATTTTCGTAGTATTAAGAAGAAAAGGACGAAGTGTTGTGTTTTATTGTGTAAAAACTACTCAGATAAACGCTCTAATGTTATGGATGGCATCACATTTCATTTGTAAATAATTTTATACCTAATTTATTAAAATAGTTCTAGAAAAATCTCTTTGCGTCGGCTTTCAAATATAATTAAATATATTCGACACTAGATGGCGACACTTTGTATCATGTGAACTAAAAATATAAAGGTCCGTAGAGCTCAGTATTGGTAAAATAATCATACGAAGGTACTGAAATTTGTTTTGCATTCAGACATAAAGAAATTTTAATCGCAAAATATTATTTTTATAGTTTATAATCATTTTTAGAACAGGCCGTATTCTTGTCAAGTAAACCTCATAAAAATGACAAAAAGACAGGGCCCTAATTAGAATTGAATTATTTTTCCCAGTAATCCAACTTTTAATATTAAATGCAGGAAATTGTACTTATGCTGAGTTTAAGAAATGGTTAAGTTATATTTAAGTGATATTCTATATGCAAAGAATCACTTAAATACAATTTAATGTTCTTAGATTGGCATTCGAAAAGTGCATTCGGATGCCTAATTTGGAATAAAATATTTTTATTTTAATTGATTTGTAAATAAAATTATATTAATTATAATAATTTGTCTATTATTTGTTCTCCCTCAGAGATATTAAGTAGTATAACCCACACATAAATAATAGTCCAGTCGTTTCTGCGTGAAAAAATTACACATACTTAGTGTGGAATAAGCTCAAGGAGACAGAAAGAACACACAAAATTTCGCCTTTATAATATTAGTGAGATAAGTAGGATATTTAGTTCCAAATTAAATATCCTACTTAATATTGAACATAGAATATTTAGTTTCAAAGAGACTTTATTTTATGGATAAAATAAATATTTATTGAAGGTTGACTTTCACGAAATGATAAACATATTTAAATTGTATTTAAGTGATTCTTTGCATATAGAATGTCACTTAAATATAACTTAAACATTTCGTAAAAATCAGCCAAGTACAATTTCCTTCATTTTAATATTGAATGTTGGGTTACTGGGTAAAATAATTGAATTCTAATTGCGGCCCTGTCTTTTTGTTATTTTTTATGAGGTTTACTTGACGATAGATGGCGGCCTGTTCCCAAAATTATTATGAAAACAATAAAAATATTATTTTGGCGATTAAAATTTCTTTGTCTGAATGTATTTGCTTCATGAGATAGACGCTCCGATGCTATGGATGGCATCACATTTCATTTGTAAGTAATTTTACACCTAATTTATTAAAATAGTTCTGGAAAAATCTCTTTGCGTCGGCTTTCAAATATAATTAAATATATTCCACACTAGATGGCGACACTTTGTGTCCTGTGAACTAAAATATAAAGGTACGTAGAGCTCAGTAATGATAAAATAATCATACGAAGGTGCTCAAATTCGTTTTGCATTCACACATAAAGAAATTTTAATCGCCAATATATTATTTTTATAGTTTATAACATTTTGTGCACATGCCGCCATCTAACGTCAAGGTAACTAAGCTACATTGTAACATCGATATGGAAAGATTCGAGTAGTTTTACTATTTATCGGTAGTGTTGATGTAGTGTGGAGTGGGCGGGGCTTTGCATCCCCTCACCCCGCAAATTGTCACGCGTTGTTACATAGTGAAATTTAATTAAAACGTCTCCTCTTTATATTTGCTTCATGATCATGAGCTTAACAGTGAAGGAAGACTTCACGAGGAAATTTATTTTTCTGAGAAATTTATTATATTTGGAGCATCTGGCAGCGTGTCGCATTCTACCTCTTCTAAAAGCAATGAGATACATTTAACCATTTTCGCTATTAAAAAAGACAGTCTAGGGATTGGACCAGGGGTCACTGACCTTCCGGCTGGTGCCTGCACCTGCACTTTCAGGTCAGGGATGCTTTAGTTTGTACCTGTGTCGTATGGTCAGATGAGAGCCAACATTGCCAATGCCAAGAACTCATTGCAGTTGTGGAGGACAATCTGTAGCTCTCAACTCGGGTAACAACAATGGTTATTGCAGTCCATAGACACCTGGAGGAACTTCAAACAAAGAAAGCTACAGATGCGTTGTCACCTCCGAGGACTAAGATGGAATGCCTCACAGCCTGTGTTTATACTGGCTCTCTATATATATATGTCTATAGCCTTTAGACAGGAACACGCAGCGTAGGCACGAATTTGGCGGCAGAAACAGGTAAGAGAATAATGATATCTACCAAGATGGTCTCAGAAAAGGAGTAAAGAAAGGGAATAAAACAGCCGATTGCGCTAATGAGGGCTAATAACTTTCTGCTCACCAGATGTCGCTAGTTGACAATGAAGTAAAGTTTTTTGTTACACAATGTAATTTAATTGAGAAGTTGTTTCCTAATAAAAGTTTATCAGCTTCTAGAGTATTATATTAATACACAAAACAATGCATCAGTGGTTTACTGTTTAATTTTTTTGCACATTTTTAACTTTTTTTTTAATTTTTCTACTTTTATGAATATCTGTGGTTTGGTTTTTTATTTTTAATGTATAAAATATAGCTAATAATACAGAAAGAAACAATAACTTTTATATTTTCTGACCAAATTAACGTCCCCGCTATGAAATCTGTCAAATATTATACCTCACTTTCTAGTGGCGCCGCCCTGGTGGCAGCAAAAGTCGTGGATGCCCCCACTTTTACCGGTTTCTAGTAGTATTCTCATCTGCTAGTAAATAGCGTTCATTATCAATGCAATAATAATTATAGTTGTACACATAAATCACTTACAGGAACTCTGGAGTAGCTGGTCAGCCATACCCACGAGTCTCCTCCGGGTGCGGGCCCTTTAGCGCCCGTACGCTTCATCTCCGCAGCATCTTTTTCCTCGAGTTCTCCTCGCATTTTCGGGTTGAAGAATTCGACATGCGGCGCTACTGTGTTTTCGTCTTGAACAACTGAAGCTTTCTTTATAACCATAAATACTATATTAAAATCTTTGAAAACTAAAAGCTGGAAGGAAAGATAAAAATGTGTTCGACGGTTAGTTCTAGGAGTATTTAAGTTTCCAGCGCTAATTTTAAAAGCCGGTTCGCCCCGAAATTAAATATTATACACTACAATGTATAATGAAGTTTGCCAAGGGAAAGTATACAAATTTAAATACTTGTCCAACTTGCGTGCGATGACCCAAAATTTTACAAATTGGTGATAAAGAATCGTGTTACCAGGATTATGTATTCAAATAAAAATAATTAAACAACCAAAAAGACATTTAAATAGACAAATCTTTCACAGCAATGTTACAGATATTAGTTATAGTGGGCTTTGAGGTGAATGAAAACCAGCCTCCTTCTCAGCAGAAACGACAACTAGACGCAAATAAGGTGCATAGACCATACGGGCTCACATTAAGAGAGTTAAATGATATTTTTTTTTCATTGTTTTAAAGAAAAATCTTAAATACAGTTCATGTAATAAAAAATACAAATTAAACTGCTAAGTACTTCTTTATTATTTTTATTTTATTTATACTCTTTATTGCACACAAAACACTACACAACACCGTAAACTTAAATTTATAAACGAATGTACAATTAGGTGGCCTTATCGCTAAACAGCGATCTCTTCCAGGCAAACCTTGGAAGGTTTGATTTGATATATACAGAAGTGCGCATAAATATTAAATAAACAAGTATATATTAACAGTACAAGGTATTACGTATACGTAGTATATAAGATATATACATAATATTATATATACATATACACATAAAGACACAAATACATATATAAGTAGTGTAGTTGTACCACTTCTAGACCACCTGAGTCAGACGTGGTTCAACGACGTTCGTCGACGCCCGATCCTAAAAAAAAAAAAAAAAAAAGGTTTTGGCATGCTCTGATCACGAATCCGCGGTCCATTTTTGTGTAGAATGCACGGTTCCGGAGATGTGTAGATCAATTAGCTAATATCTAATTGATATCCGGTAAGGGCCTCCACCGTCATTAGCGTCCCATTGTTCCTATTTCTATTGTTCTATTGTTCATTAATCACCTTCATTGCAACGTGTGCGTCGACTATACCAGTGCTATTGTGTTATAGTTCTTTGTTCCTAATTATACAACGCTAATCTGAATCATCAATAAAACACATTACATAATTTTGTTACAATTTTTATTTATAAAATACAAAATCTTATTAATTATTATCTATAAAATAGGAGCGAAACATCTCATCCACTAAAATATCGTTGTACAATGTGTTCCTTGTAAATATACTCGTAAAACTATGTATTGAACATCCTTGAAACTTATATAGCAAATACATTAAGCAATATTCGCCACAAACTGAAGTCCACTCATTTTGAATCCTATCAACATTCCAGTTCCATCTTTTACAATTCCTTTTTAAAAACTCTAGATGATATCGTACAGGTGATCGTCCATATGAATCAAAATATTGACCGACGTCATTCGTATCGATATATAAAGCTACCCAATGTGACCCTGGTTTATCATCTGTATCCAAATTACATATTATATACGTTGGTACGTGGGTATACATAGGCAGTCTATTAGCTGCATAAACATTATTTTCTAGACTGGGGTGAATCTTTTTCAGATGTTGTTGTACATCTAGTGTATCCATGATATTACTGCTATTAGTAGATTGTTACAGTACCTAGCTACTCAATGAATAACATAGGAATGGTCAATTATAGTGATTTCTACATATTAAATTGCATTTTTGTGATATACAAATCGTACTTGAGTCATTGATCACCAAACAAAACACAATACGAAGAAATGTTGAGATAGGCAACGGAAATGTGAGATAAACTGATATGTTTCTAAATATTAAATTGCATTTTTGTGTTATACAAATCGTACTTGAGTCATTGATCACCAAACAAAACACAATACGAAGAAATGTTGAGATAGGCAACGGAAATGTGAGATAAACTGGTTGACGCATAAAGTAATTATCAACTCATTACGGAAATACTTTAGATTAGAATTTTTACGTACTGGTGGTATATAAGACCAACAAACGCAGTCATCGAGTTAGTGTACGGTCGTTTGGCTACAGTGGATCTATCAATAGTACATTTGTGTTACTTCAATACACCAAAGGCTATGGATGTAAGTGTTTATTCTATTGACTAAATTACTTTTTTTCTGTTATTTTCATGTGTGTGTATTATTTTATTTAAATATTGTGTATGTATATGATTAAGCCGTGGTAACTCAGATGGTTAGCGCTAGCTGTAAATTTCACAGTACGCGACCCGGGTTCGATCCCCGCCAGTACCAATTAAATTGTTAATAGCAATTTTAAGTGCTTATTACCACGTGCTTGGTGGTGAAGGAAAACATCGTGAGGAAACCTGCATGTCTGAGAAAATTTCGAAGGCATGTGAAGTTCGCCAACACACATTGAGGGAGCGCGGCGGACATTTCCTTGCTCTAAAACCCTCTCAGAAATGAGAGGAGGCCTATGTTCAGCAGTGGACTTTAATAGGCTGTAACTTTAACTTTTTTAACTTTTATGATTAAGTGTTAACAAATTGATATTAACATGATAACTGTGTTGTTGCAGAAATCATTGAGCTTCGATGAAGATACCTATAAACAGTATTACTACTCGCCACTCTCCCCTCAAGAAGAGAGTGATAACCTCGTCATTAATAATAACACATGCAATGGTGGAAAAAGAAAATCGCAATCGATTGATCATTTTTTTGAAGCTGAATCAAAAATAAAAAAGAGGAAGCTGTTATCATCAACCGTAGCACGAGCCGCTAGAGATGGTGTATCATACATTTCTACTAATTCTGACGACGGAGACCAAGCGACGCATCTCATCAAAATTGAAATGTACGATATGAAGAAGCTATCCAAGATTCCAACTACTGATCATTGGAAACATGCTTCCACGAGAATTAAATATTACGTAAAGACTAATAAGGATAGCATCTACGACAATACAAACGCCCTCGTATACAATATAACAAAGACAATAGCAGAAAGTGAAAAAGTTAAAAAATACTTTTTTAACAATGACAGTCATTAGCTGATCATTAGTGAATGTGATTCTGTTTACTTCAATTACAGGAAGACAAGAGCGGAAGGAAGAGATGAGTGTGGCATACGTGTACAAAACACATCATTGAATAACAAAACTACAACACTGAGTGGAGAAGAAAACGAGAAGAGTATGCAGTACTCAAGAGCTGAATATCCATTCTTCAGTTCAAAATCTAGCCGTTTGCTTAGTTTCGAAAACTGGCCTCTAGTTATGCGACAGAAACCTGAAGATCTTGCCGAAGCTGGTTTCTTTTATACTGGCCATGCAGACTGGACCAAGTGTTTCCATTGTGGTGGTGGTTTAAAAGATTGGGAAGATGATGATGATCCTTGGCAGCAGCATGTTCAGTGGTTTAGTCAGTGTGCTTATGTAAAATTTCAACTCGAGCAGTGTTTTGTATTAGATTAAATAGAAGATTTATAAAGAAATAAAAAAAATATATTGCATACAATTTGTTTTATTTAATTTTATAACGTTTCACATAGTTACATACACACAAAATGCATTACACATAACACATAAAATCTAACGCACAACACATATTATAACCTTAACTACTATAGTCTACAGTAACATTTCTGTTTTTATCTATCTCAATAATATTATCAAACTCAGCATAAACTATACAGTTAATTGTTTGTATTAATGAGGATTCAAATCGTACTTCTATTCTTACACTACCATGCTTTATGAGATTCCAATGAGTTGATGAGTTAGCTGATAAATCAGGAGTTAAGTCAAATGCTAATAGACAGTAACCTTTGCCATACTGTTCACAAGAGATTCCATTTCCTTCATTAAGAAAGTGAATACCAGTTCCCGAGAATAGAGTATGATATGCTGATGTAAATATGCTATTATTAAAAGATGGTTGCAAAGCTTTTGAAGGTATTTGTTGACCATCAATATATAAGCTGAAAGAATTAATACCATAGTTTTCAAAGTTAAATGGATTTTTAGTAAGGGAACCATTAAATGCAGAATTGTTCACAAATCCAATTATACATCTTTTCGGTACCTGTCCTAAAAATATATTATCAAGAGTTTTTCCTTGAACACCTGAAGGAATTGTTAAAACTTTTACTTCAGCTCGAGTAATAGGATATTTAGCAGTGGTAGAAGCTAAAACTTTTTGATGTGCGAGTAATACACTTGGATTAATTCGTGCTCGTCGCACAATAAGAGTTGCGTCCGTAATGCAAACTTTAAACTTTACATCGTTCGACCCAACAATTAAATTAAAACTCTCTCTTGATCGAACCAATTTAACACTCATTTCAACACCATTAATTAAAAATTTATCTTGGTTAAAAATGTCACCGTGAAGATGACCAATCATTTCTATTTCCTTACTTTCACTAATCAATTCCTGTCTTTTAACAAATCCTATGTTTTTACCATCTGTAGAATCCATTTTTCCTGCTGTATCCTCATACCAAAGACTACAAGTAAGATGAGATTGTTTAGCAGCAGGGGCATAGTTTAAAAGGGTTTCCATGTATGCTCGATATGCATAGGTATTATTAGGTGGTGATACAAGTTTTTGGTTTAAATAAACATCAAGTTGACTAAAAAGTGAATGCAGCCAATTATTTACAGGTGCTACTATTGTAGTAGATACCAAGTTAGTTGAATCTTGATTTAATACTTTTGCCTTTATGTGGAGTAATGTATGAGACAAATCTATGTAGTCATCGCCGGTCCCAGGAACTTGAAACTCGATAGGTCCATCATCACCAAGAGATGAAATTGGTTTATAATGAATCCACAATCCATTTTCAATGCTAGTTTGTGTAGACGGTAGTGCAAACAAATCCAATTCTGACTTAACGCACTCGCAAGAATGATTATGAAGGAAAGACATATTTAGTTTGAA